AGAACATTTTGAGTTGCAATATGCCATGATCAATAAACTTCTGTGGCATCTATTTTAAAGGGGTTTTATGTTTCTGAGAGTGCTAAGGAGAGAGGCAAGGGGAAGGTAGAAGGAGAAGAAACACAGGAAGAAACAGATGAAGAGAGAAAAAAAAGTGGAAGGTAAAAGAGCAGAGAGAGGGAAGAGGAAATAAAGAGGCAAAGAAGGAGAAAGAAAAGGGAAAAGAAAGACAGGAAAGGGTGGGGGAATAAGAAGGCAGAAGGAAAAGAAACCCTTTTCACCATCAGAGCCAGTATTAGACACTAGATGGTATATCCCCCTAACTTCCACCACAAACTCTCAGTTGCAGAGATTTAGAAACCAAAAAAAGCCTAGTTTTCTTAGGGCCAGGCAACTTTCACTGCTCTAAACTCCCCTTACTAAATCTGCCTCTAAGAATTTTTATCCAGCAAGGAAGAAGGTTATTAATTGGTAATTTAAATGCAGCTGCTCTACAGAGGCCTGTGTTCATGTACTCAATGGGCAAAGAATTCATGACATCTTGAATGTCCAAAGGAACTCATTGTAGGATTCTGACATTGTGAAGTCCATAGGACCATAGCTACAGAGGCCATCTAGTCCAACCCCCTTTCTTTAAAGATGAGGAAACTGAAGGACATGGAGTCTAAGTAAGTGATCACGGTCACACAAGTGCTGAGTATCATAGGCAGGATCTGAACACATGTTCTCTTGAGTCTAGTCTCTCTCTATTGTATCACATAACCTTCTAGCTGACAAAAAATGCCTGAAGAAGTAAAGGGCTGAATATTTCTGAGGTGTATCAGGTGTGCCAATTTGGTGTGGGGATACCAGTATGAACCACGATTGTGGGTGTTTGGAATAACTGGTGAGTCAATCAATTATCTAAAACATAATAGATATAAACAGACAACAAAGCCTATAAGATTGTGTAAGATAAGTACTAGGTGAATAATATAGCTATATGCTGTAGGATTTCAGAGGAGAGAGAAATCTGTGTGTGTCAGGGGGCCTTCACAAAGCAAATGGGCCTTGACCTATGTTTTAAAGAATGGACTGGTGAAGGGGATTGTGGGATGGGACGGGACTAATAAAAAACAGAACAAGGACAGGAAAGTAAGACCTTTACAAGACAGCAAGTAAGATTTGCATTTATGCAACATTTGAAGGATTGCAAATCACTTTACATATGATTTTCCCAATTTATCCTCATAACCTTGTGACATAGGAAAGTTCAGTGTCCAAGGGAAAATAGTATCAAGAGTATTCAAGGAAAAAGAGTCTAAAGAAGAGAAGAGTTAATAAACAGTGTCATAGACTTCAGAGAAACCACAAGATCACAGATTTTGAGATGGAAGGGTTGTTAGAGGACATTTAGTCCAAGACTCTAGTTTGCAGATTAAATCAAATGCTCCAAGTCACAAAAACATAAAGAAGCAGAAACTAGGCTCTGAACTCCATTCCTTTTATTGCATATACGTAGTGGTTTTTTTTTCTCTGTACCACAAGTCAAGGATAAAGACTGAAAGGAAAAAGTCATTGGATTGACAATTAAGGCATCATCAGTTACCATAGAGAAAAAATAATAATTTAATCTCTCTGCACCTTATTTTCTTAATCTGAAAAATGAGAGCATTGGACTAAATTTCCTCTAAGGACCCTTTTAACTCAACATCTATGATCCTATGGTCTCTTTGCAGTCTGTGACACTTTTATTACATCTTCTCTTCACGATTTGCTCTTGTTCCTTGGATTAGGAGGTCATTAATCTTTCCTGGTTCTCTTTGGACTTGTCTGACCACTATCTCCTTCCCAGATTCATCTTCACCCTCCCACACAAAGTAGAAGAGCGTGAAGTCAGATTATAGGGAGTTTAACAATTAATGGAAGACATAAGCATAGATTATTTTTTCTAGAAGTTTAGCAGTAAAGTGGAGGAATGATAATAATAATAATAATAATAATGTGACATTTATATAGCAATTTATTTATATCATCTTACAGGATCTTCTCAACCTTGAAAACGATGTAATCAACAAACATTTATTAAGCACCTCCTATAAGTCAGATAATGAAGACACAGATACAAAGGATGCCATAATATCTGTTTACAAAGAATTTCCATTCTAATAAGGAGCTAGCTAGGACAGAAGGTTTTGTTTGTCTTTACTTCTGTTTGTCTCTATTTGTTTTCCATTCTCCTTTGTTTTTGTTCTTATTTTAAGACTAGATACTTGAATATACCTGTGGGCAGGAAAAGGACTAGCTGAGAGAGAAAGAGTGAAGATTTTTTTTTTTTTGCAGGGGAGGGTTGGGGTAGGTATTGATCATTTGTGAAATGGCATACAGTCCTGAAGGAGACTACATGTGATAGATTCAAGAGGACAATTGCAGGGTTTCATCTTGGTGGGTACAAGGTCATCTGATTAGTGAGAACATCAAGAAGTTTTGAAGGGTACTGGAGGAGATATGAAGGTCATGATATATAACTTCAATTTTTTACCTCCAATAAACTAGAAAGCTTGGTAATTCAATGAAAGAAAATGCGTTAGGATGCAGTTAGGGTTTCTGAGAAAGAGGAGAGCTTTGGGAATGTCTGCAGTAAGAAGATAGGGAATTTGTAATGTGTATCTAGTAGTGGTTAGAGAACATGAACTAGCAGTGGACCTAGTCAACTGTTTTGGGACTTCCTCTGGAAGCACTCAGCATCTTGGGGGTAGGAATAGAGAAGGTGGATGGTTGAGCAACTAATGAGGAGGAATGGATAAGACAGGAGGTCAGGGATTACTGATTCTGTAACATCAGAAGGACAAAGGTATCCTTGGTGAGACTGCCAAACTAGAAATACCTCATCTCTCTGATATCCATTTTCTAGCATCTGGGGTCTCTGACTCTAGATCTGCCTCTGGCTGTACAACAGCTTTCCAAAAGCCACTTCAGTTTTTGTTTAATAGTCTTTGGTTCTATAATTCTGTGGGGCAAGGAGTTCAGGGAGAGAGGACAGTATTTAGTTGACATGGCTTATTATGGTCAAAACTGCAAAGCAAGAAGAATACATTCAGAACAGAGGTAATACATGAGGAAAAGAGTTCTGGATTGGGAGGCCAGAGGCCCCACTAAGGGCAATGAGCATGATCCAGCAGGAATGAGGAATGGAATAGAAGAGGCAGGGCAGAAATTTGTATCTTGTTGGGAAAATTCAGGAACAGTTTTGGCTGTTAACTGCTAGGTGCAATCACCCTAGTGGAGGTGGGACAGTGATATTGATGGAAGATAGTCATGGCATCTGAGGAAGAACTCTCAAATTCCTTCTGACCCTATGATTCTCATTCATCTCAACTGCAGTTGGCATGGAGGCCTTATCATTTCAAACCATCATTCTTGACCCCCATTATATTCTTTAAATATAATGAACTTCTTGCTCCTTCCCCAAGTGCTACTCATCAAAATGAAGATGTAACAACATTGCAAGGGTGATAAATCACAACCAAGGTGTAATTCACAGGTACGAGTGTCTTCTGGCACTATCAACCATGCCAATTTATTGCTATGCATATCTATGACTTTCCAGTCGTCCTTGAAATGACATCAAGAGCCAGAAAGAGCTGTAGTAGAACAACCTGTTTTCCTTTCCAAATGTCAGTCACCACAACCTGAGCAAACAGTAGCACTTAAGCTACAGTTGTGGTTTAAAACTTTAGTCCTGGTTATTCCCTTTTCTCTTACAAAGACATGGCTTTTACCTGGCAAATGAGCAACACAGATGTGATACTGTTGCCATGGGAAACATTCCCTGATCGCTGTACAAATATTTTATGGTTTCAGGAAGATTTTCAATTCAGATTCTTTTATGATGCTATAGTCATGGAACACCATGATCTCCAAAGAATTGAAAGATGAAGATCATCAATGAAGAGATATTTGGTGGGTGTAAACAGGATAAAATGAATTATAAAAAAAGACAAAGGTGAACCAAAGTGGAAAATGTCATCAAATAAATACATAAGTGAAAAAAGATGGGCTTTTCACTTAGTGAGGGATGACTGACAAATAGGGTGTGTATTCCAACGATATGCTTGAGCAATCAAGAGAAAGTGAAGAAGGCACTTAGCATGTTGACATGATAGACATGGACAGAAGTCGAATAGGATAGGCAGGCATAGGAGCTGTGTCACTGAAAGAAAGGCCCACACAGATAAAAACACTTTGAGAAATTGAGTGTGCTTAAACCTAAAATAGGCATTTTAATAATTTAGTAATATCAATATTTTTCAACAATGTCATTTATAATACACTACTGATAAACAGGAACAGTTAGATGGCATGCATCATAAATCTTAAATCTTAACATTGCTATTTTTCATTTACTGCTGTTTTCGTGTTTATTCCTCTGTGTTTGGGTCAATTATTTTTCTTTGTTGTTAAAAAGCTTTCCTTCAAGGAATTATCCATGCATACTATTGTCCTGCAATTTTATTTAAATGTTTCTCAGTTATGCCTGCTCTCCTCTGAAAAAATGGTGTCACAAAAACCCAATCATGATAGATTGCCTCTAGTATTAACTACCCATCTATATGTAGATGTATGTAAAATCCCACTTTAAAAAAACACACACACACAAAACACAAAACAGAAACACAGTGCAAGCATATTACTGTATTTTATGGCTAGGCCAACATTGTGCTTTTCATGATACATTTAAAAAGGTGGAAGGGAAAGAAACACTGGAATAGAAAACAGCAGATGAGATGTGATTAGGGCTTTAAAAGGTAATGCGGTTATAACAGGCTTTTTTTTTAAATTGCAGCAAAAGATGGCACCACACACAACACATCTCCCTTCGCTACAGAAATCAGAATTGCAGTTCTCTAACATTAAACACTTCATTAGTGTATTTTCCTCCCCTAATCATCTGTTCTCTGATTTTATTTGATTCCATTTATTTAAAAATGCACTACGGAAAAAAAAAATGTCAGTCTTACTTGACACTCATGATGAAGCCTGGTACAGAAGACAGCAGTGCGGGAGACTTCAGATCTGTCTTCAATAAATCATATCTAAAATAACCCAGACGTTTCCTCCTTGCCACCCAAACCAGCCTGGTGTATGCCCATGCCCCACTGGCTGGCCGCAGGGCACACCATGATTCCAGCTTGAGGCTCCACTTCTGGTTTTGTAACAGCCGGGAGCCAGGCAGGGTGTCAAAAAAACAAAACAAAAAATAAATAAATAAATAAAAACCCAACTAAAACCAAAAAGGAAAAAAACAAACTCAGAAGCAAGTGGCACCTGAATGTAGCCTTAGGCGATCTGATCTTCAGCTTAGGAAGAGCAGCTCGTTCCCAAGGCTACTTGTCCAAGGCGGCAAATGCCATCGGCCAAAAGCAAGTCTCGAGGTCATCTGACACTGACTGACCTCCCTCCCACCCTGCTTCGGGTAGCGCTTCTCAGCCTCCCATCAGTACCCCTAGCATCTTCCTCTTCTGCCCTTCCCCCCTCCCTGCAGCTCCAGCAGAAGCAATGAATGGAGGGCCGCGAAAACGTCTCCGTGGGGACTCGATCTGAGCATGCTCCGCAGCTCCAGGATCTAGGCAGGAAACACAGGCACCGCACACACCCACGTTAGCGCGCGCCCGTCCTCCGCTCGCTCGCCTGCGCCCCTCCCCAATCCCATCAACCCCACCCTTCCCCCTCCACCCCGAGATGCCGGAGTGGGAGGAGGTGGGGGCGGGGAGGCGGCCAGGGCTTCGCAGGGAGCGTGCGCAGGCAGGGAACTTCTTGGGCCAGGGACAGTTTCTCGGGCCCAGCCCCCCCCCACTTCCTCGGTCCTTCATCCTCGCCTCCCACTCCAGGCCTCGCCACCGACCGACGCCCAGGGCACCATGGCCTCGCGAGCTCCCGGCCTGGCTTCTGCGCCTCCGCTGCGGCCGGTCACCCACCTGCTCTTTGACATGGACGGCCTCCTTCTGGGTGTGTAACTGCGGGCCGTCTCCCGCCGAGGCTGCGGCGCCGTGGGCTTTCTGTCCTTCTCCTTCCCTCTCTGGCAGCTGGAGGGGGAGGGGGCCCGGGCGAAGGGGGAGGGGGCCACGCGGAGGTGGGGGGGCAGGTCGGGGGATGCCGCCCCCGGGAGCCGCCGCCGCGGTCCGCGCCCATGCAGCTGCGGGCGGGCTGGACTCACTGCCGCTTGTCACGGCCACGGGAGGAGGAGACCCTCTACGTGGCCACCCCTTCTGTGGCCGGGCCGGCCCGCTCTCCCCCGGGTTCGTTACCCGGGGAAACCCCCCACGTGCAAGGAAGCAAAGTCGCCTTCCCTCCAGGATCCAACAGGGGCAGGGAGTCCGAGGCCATGGCCTAGGCGACTTTGTTAGGTGGCGGAATGACCCGGGGAATGGATGTCCCCAGCAGCCCCCTTCCCAGGGGAGTCCAACGGGCAGCCGTCTGGGGAGCTGCATGTGTCATCTCAAGTCAAACACAAGGAATAAATAAGTAATGATAATAACAATCTTTAGCATTTATATAGAACATACCACGTGCCCAGGCACTGTGCTTAACGCAGTGCAATGATTATCTCATTTGATTCATACAACCACACTGGGAAGGTAGGTGCTAGTATTGTCCCCCTTTTACAGAGGAGGAAACAGGCAAGCACAGATTAAGTGACTTTCCTAGAGTCTCACTGCTAGAAAATGACTGAGGGCTGGATTTGAATAATAATAGCCAACATTTATATACTTATCATCATCATGGCTAACCTTTATGTAATGATCATAATAGTTAACATAGAGTGCTTACTATGTGCCTGGCACAGTGCTAAGTACTGTACAATCATATTCTGATGCGATCCACACAACCACACTGGGAAGGTAGTGCTAGTATTATCACAATTATACAGATGAAAAGAATGGAGTTTAAGTGACTTGACCACGGTCACACAGCTAGACGTGTCTGAAGCCAAATTTGAACTCAGGTTTTTCTGACTCCAGGTCTGCTACTGTATCCACAAAGTAGCCTTTGACATGGTCAAAATTATACAGGGCATCCTATTATTCTTTAGTGAGTTGTAAGCTATAAGGTGTCCAAAAGTCTTAGTGCATTTAAGCTTTTACAGCTATTAAAGCTCAAAACTGCACTACAATTTTTGTGTTTCCATGTATCCTGAAAAGAGTCTTTTCAAAGCTCTTGACTGTGTGTGCTGAACTGAAAGCCATGCAGTGGGAGATTTTTGCAGGGAAAAAGATTCATAAGCTCATTCTCTTGGATGGACCTGCTTACATCATAGAGTTTATGGCAGAAAGAGGATATTGATCATGTATCTACCCTTTGCTGCAAGTAACTTGCTCAAAATCAAACAGATAAGAAATAACAGAGTCAGGACTAGAACTTAATTCCCCTGTCTCCAAATTTGGAGTATGCTGGTAAATGTTTAACAGCCAGCTCTCTGTTATAGAGGAGGATTCAAATCCTGCTGCCTGCTGGCTTTATGCAGCTAGACAGGTTACTTAACCTTTAGATCCTGTTTCCTTGCCTATATAAATTTAAGCTCCTTGAGGACAGAGACTGTCTTGTTTTTGTGTCTGACCTGGGTACTTTGTCCGCATGGATAAGGACTGGACCTGTATATTCATTGGTGTAGGGAGCTCCAAGTGAGAAGCCGCTCTATCAGTACAGATGAACATTTTCTCAAGTGTTACACAGGGTTACACATCCAGTATGTGTCAGAGGCAAGACTTAAACCCAGTTCTTCCTGGTTTTAAGTTTGGGCTGTCTATACACTGTACCACAATACTTCTCTACTGTACACATAATAGGTATTTAGTGAACATTTGAATTTGAAAATGAGGTAGTTGGATCATATACTCTTTAAGTAGGAAGGAAGGGGATTACCATTTATATAGTACCTAGTGTGGTCCAGTTGATTTTTACAAATGTTATTTCCTTTGATCCTTACAACAACCCTGGGAGGAAGGTGCCATTATTATCCCCATTTCATGGATCAGGAAACTGAGGCAAACAGAGGCTAAGTTATTTGCCCAGAGTCACACAGCCAATAAGTGTCTGAGGCTAGATTTTATTTCAGGTCTTCCTGACTCTAGCTGCTTGGGGTTTTAACAGTATCTAAGGTTTCTCTCAGCCCTGTTATTTTATGAAGTTAAGTTTCAGATGTTATGTGACTTGCCAGGGTCACCTAGCTGATCAGCTGCTAAGTGTTAGAGCCTGCACTGGAACTAGAGTCTCCTGAATTCAGTATTCTTTCTGCCATCCTGTGGGCATACATTGATAAATTGGAAAATCATATTTCATATACATACATATAGGAAATCTTTAGGATCTATGATAAACACTTGGACTGTTAATTGCACATATTCAGTAGTATGTATTCTCTTGCTAAAGTGGAAAAATTATTATTAGCTGAACCATATAAAAACAAGCCCAAGGCAAAGCAGAGCTGTAAACTGAAAGCTGGCTACTCCTATTTTCTGTTCTTGCATCTAGAAAGGACACTCTAGGTTTGGAGAGGAGCATAAAGCCACAAAAATATTAGAATTGGAAGGAACTTTGGGTTATGGAATCACAGCGCCCAACCAGTACTGAACCATATGTTTGCCCCTCTGTTACAAAAGTGGTCTACTAGCCTTTGCTTGAAGACCTATAAAGATGGAAACCTATGGCCTGAGGCAGCCAGTTCCATTTTTGGACAACTCTGACGCTCAGAAAGTTTTGTTCCTTACGTTGAACTCATGAAATTATATCTCTGCTGCTTCTGTCCATTATTTCTTATTTAATCCCTTTTCTGCATGATAGCCCTTCACATATATGAAGATTGCAATCACATTCCCCCATCATTGCTCATGTAGATGATTCAGTTGCCCCTTGCTAGGTGACTTGATGGCCCAGGTCATATAGTTAAGATAGATATAGTCTAAGGCTTACATCTTCAATAAAGTGAGGATGGCTGAACTGTAGAATCTCTAAGTTCCCCAACATTCTTGAAATCGTGGTCTGTCAGCAACGTTTGTTCAGTAAATGTTTATTAAATCTTTAAATATCATTAAATAGTGGGTTTTGATCATTTGGAAAAGAATGTCAGCATCAAAGGATAGCTCTCTAGGAAAACTGGGAAAAGAATGAATGCAGGGGGGATTTAGGCTATATACATGTATTTTAAAAGCTATAAATAAGATTAATTTTAAAAAGAGTGTCTTACCCTATGGAAAAGTCCAGGGGAGGAAATAAGAGGGGGTTGATAGAAGGGAGGGCAGATTGGGGGAGGGATTAATCAGACGCAAATACTTTTGAGGAGAGACAGAGAGTCAAAAGAGAGAATGGAATAAAGGGGAAGGGCAGGAAAGGATGGAGGGAAATATAGTTAGTCTTTCACAACATGACTGTTATGGAAGTGTTTTGCATGACAGCGCATGTATAACCTATATCGAATTGCTTGCCTTCTGAATGAGAGTGGGTGGGGAGGGAGGAAGGGAGAGAATTTGGAACTCAAAGTTTTAAAAACAAATGACAAAAATTGTTTTTACATGCAATTGGAAAATAAGATACATAGGTAATGAGGTATAGAAATCTATCCTGCCCTACAGGAAAATAGAAAGGGAAGGGGATGGGGGGCGGGGAATAGAAGGGAGGGCAGATTGAGGGAAAGGGTATTCGGAATTCACACTGTCATGGCGTGGGGCGGGCAGAGATGGGGAGAAAATTTGGGACTCAAAATCCTGTGGAAGTGAATGTTGAAAACTAAAAATTAAAAAAAAATGGCTAGATCATGCATTATATTAACTTGACCAAGTTTCTTTTTTTGATTGAGTTAGCTTGATAGACCAGGGAAATGCTGTAAGCCATGTATTTCTTGCAAGAAATGTGACAGATTTTTCTATGATAGCTTTCTAAATAAGATGTTAAAATGTGAGCTGAATACAGGTAGTCACTACTTTGCCATTTAGTTGAATTGTAATAGTTATCTATGTTACTGAATATAACAGTCTAAAGGGTGTTAGATTTGGAGCCAGAGAACTTGGGTATGAATCTTGACTACCACGTACTACCTACCTGTGTGACATTAGGTAAATCATTTAACCTTCCTGGATCAGTCATTTAACCTTCCTGGATCTCAGTTTCCTCATCCCCAGGACAAAGAATTGTGATTAGAGAATATCTAAACCCCTTTCCAGCCCTCAGTCTATATCCTTTGATTCCATGAACTTAGAACATGTTTCTCCATATAATCAATTCAACAAAGGGTATTTAGGTGCCAAAGATGGCCTAGAAAATCTTTTTTACACAAGAGTTTATCAAACTGTGGCCGTAGTATAATTCATGTGAGTTCTTTTTTTTTTTATTAATTTATTTTGATATATCAGCAATCACTTCTGTAAGCTTTTGAGTTTTAATTTTCTCCCTCTCTGCCTGCTTCCCCAAGATGGCAAGCAATCTGATATAGACTATACATATACATTCTTATTAAACATATTTTCACATTAGTGATGTTGTAAGGAAGAATTAGAACTAATAGGAGGAACCACAAGAAAGAGAAAACAAAACAGGAGAAAAAAATAGCAAATAGTATGCTTCAATCCACATTCAAACTCCATAATTCTTTCTTTGGATGTGGATAGCATTTTCCATTATGAGACCTTTGGAGATGTTTTAGATCCTTGCATTGCTGAGGAGGGCTAAGTCTATCAATGTTAGTCATTGAACAGTGTGGCTGTTACTGTGTACAGTGTTCTCCTGGCTCTCTGCTCACTTCACTCAGCATCAGTCCATTAAAGTCTTTGCAGATTTTTCTGAAGTCTGCCTGCTCATCATTTCTTATAGCCCAATAGTATTCCATCACATTCATATACCACAACTTGTTCAGCCATTCCCCAATTGATGGGCATCCTCTCAATTCCCAATTCTTTGCCACCACAAAAAGAGCTGCTATAAATATTTTTGTTTCCCATGTGTATGATCTCTTTGGGATACGGCCTTAGAAGTGCTGTTGCTGGCTCAAAGGGTATGCACATTTTTATACCCCTTTGGGCATTCACTTGAGTTCATAGTCCTGGGATCAGGGACCATATAGGACAGAAGAGATTAGAAAGAGGAATGAATTTATTCCCATTTCCAAGGAATGAGACTTAAGTAAAATTTTTAAATAGGTGGTTTCTTTTTGAGCTTTTCTTTTCAGCAACCACTTTCTACTTCCTAGCGCCCTTCTTTCCAGGCATCTAGTAACTTTCATCCT